CCCCCACCACCACCGTGGGGCCCAGCCAGGAGCCCCTGGGGACGGCCTGCCTAGCCCCCCTGGATTATCGGACTAGCGTCCCTAACAAGGCCACCGCCAGGTGCAGCAGCCCCCCCACTTCGGTGCTTCTGTCTCCAGCTGCGTCCCCGTGCCGGGACCAGGAAATGCGGACTCCCAGTGCCCAGCCCAGCCATGCTGCTGCCAAGAAGTCCCTGCGCTGCTACCGGAGACCCCAGGACTCTCCCAGCCCCTCTGCCAGCAGCTGGAGGGCTGGCCGGAGCCGTACCAGCCGCTCTTTCAGCTCCAGTTCGGATGGAGCTACCGAGTCCTCATCTTCATCCTCATCCTCCCGATCCCGGTCACGGTCATTCTCCCCACCACCCAAGCGGTGGCGAAGGTAAGCAGTGGAGCATCTGTCTTGCTTGCTCTGGGCAATTGCCTGGTGGCCAGTCTTTTGTGAAGGTGCCTGGACACCTCTTTACAGACCTACTTGATGTCTGTGTTTGATTTTCTTCTCCTCATGGTCCCCCTGAAGGAGTCCCTGGCTGGGAAACAGGAGGACCTGCTGGAACACCTGCCAGGGCAGTGGGTGTCTGTCAGAACCCCATATCTGTGCCTGCAAAGCCACTGCTGAGCCAGGCTTTCTTACTTCTGGAGCACCATGGTATGAGTCCTTGGCTGCACCTTGGCTTTTGGATGCTTTTTATGGAGTATTAATGCAGGTGGGGCTGGTACAGCCCTAGGTGTAGGCATGAGAGGAGCCACAGTGGCAGCAGGGAGCTGCTGGAGGCAAGCAGAGGAAAAACCCATCTGGCTTGGCTGCCTCAGGGGTTCCCTGTGTTCCTTATGGAGGTGGCTGTGTAGGAAAGTGAGGTGGCTTGGTCTTTGTGGGAAGCATTTCTTTTGGAGTCCTTGTGGAGTCCCTCATCTGCTCGTCCCTGGGTGTTCAGCCAGTTTTGGAGACATCCCGGGTCACCAGGCATGAAGGGCTTGTCCAACCACGGCCTCTCCATCAATGGCCAATAGGCGTGGAGGCTGTAGCAGGAAAGGGACGTATATAGTGCCATGTCCCAGGGATGTGCACCTCAGGGACCTGACCTGTCTGGCTTGGCTTTCCAGCAAATGCAGCTGGCCCTGTGCTGGGAAACGTCCGCACGGACTGTGCCATCCTGACCTGCTGTCCTCCAGGAGAATATGTGGCAGTTCCAGGCAGCTTGGGGCCTGGGTTTGCCTATGGCAGGGACTACCCGTGGGCAGCATGTTTAGAGAGAGAGCCTGTTGCTGGCTGGAGGCAGCACAGCTTGATTCCAGGGCAGTTTCAGTCCTGCTGCTCTTAATTTTTGCCTGGCCCTGCCAGAGAAGCTCTTGCAGGCAGGAGGCTGTGGGCACACAGCCCAGCCCTGTCCCAGTGCATGCCGCCTCCCTCGATGTGGCCGGAGGCACATGTGTCTCCATTCGTACGGCTGTTGAGTGCAACGTCGATGTGATGGCTCCAGCGTCATCCTGTGCGCTATGTGGGGCTCGGCACGGCAGCCCTGGCCCCTCCTGAGTCCTTGCCCAGCCGCAGCCGCGTGCCCCCATGACTATTTCTTGCTCTTCAGAGGCTGTGCCTGGTGTGATCCTGCTCCTTTTTCACTGCGGTGTTTGGAGCCTAGTGGAGCAACATCTCTGTAGTGTCGTTACTGCTCCTGGCAAACTCAGGGAGAGGTTTCCATAGCCCAGCTCACCCTGCGGATGGGTCCTGTCTGAGTGAGGTGCTGGGTGCCTTGGGGAAGATGGAGGTTTTCTTCTTCTCTGGAGCCTCGTGGTGCTGGGCAGGGGAGGGCTCAGCACTGAGCTGTGTCTCTCCATCCCCCAGGTACCGCTCAAGATGTTCCCACAGCTCCTCCTCCCGCTCCAGCTGTGGGTCATGTGGCAGGTCCCGGGACAGATCCTCATCCTCATCATCAACGTCGTCCTACTCATCCAGGTCCACGTCCTGCAGCCAGTCCCGGTCCCGCTCCCGCTCCCCCTCGCCTCGCAGGAGGAGTAACAGGCGGAGAAGGTGAGCGTGGCCACCCTGCAGGGGTGAGCTCCCCTGCACCCATCTCCTGGCCTCCTGTGACCTGGGCAGGAGTGGACCCACTCCTTCAGTATCTCCCTTGTGTCCAGGATCACTCTCTTCTGGCACCCCCATGACCCTGTAGCTCATGTGTCCGGTTTCTGCCTTGCTAGATACAGTTACGATGCGCAGGACCACTACCAAAGGCAGAGGATCCTCCAGAAGGAACGTGCAATAGTGAGTGCTGGGGGGCTGGGAAGCTGCAGCTGGGGATTTGGGGCTCCCCAGCCACTCCATCACTTCAGAAAGCTGTGAGGTCACAGCTTTGCAGTCAGCACTGTTGGGAGGCTCTGGCCAGGGCACAGTCTGATGGGTGGCGATGCAGGGAGGGTGCTCCGTGCGAGAGGTCCCACTCACTAGGAGGGCTCAGAGGCGCTGAGTCCCCTCCGTCACATCTCACGGATGGCACATCCCTGCCCACAGGAGGAGCGGCGAGTTGTGTTCATTGGCAAGATCCCCAGCAGGATGACGCGATCGGAGCTGCGGCACCGCTTCTCTGTGTTCGGGGACATTGAAGAGTGCACCCTCCACTTCCGCTCCGAGGGGTAAGAGCTGCGGGGACGTGGGGCAGCCCCTGCCCAGGGATGGCTCCTCTTTTCCCATTCCTCAAGGGGATGGTGCAGACCGAGGGGAGACAAACATACTGTGTCGCTGCTGATCTCCTTCCTTCTCCTTCTCCGGCTCCAGGGACAACTATGGCTTTGTCACCTACCGCTATGCCGAGGAGGCCTTTGCCGCTATCGAGAGTGGGCACAAGCTGCGGCGCCCGGATGATCGCCCTGTGCTTCGGCGGCCGCCGGCAGTTCTGCAGGAGGAACTATGCCGACTTGGGTGAGTCGTGGCAGCCCCCAGGTTGCGGGGTGGGGGGGACCCTGGGTCCTCTCTCCTTCCCAGAAGTATGGGGGTCCCCATCCTTGGGGTCAGTCAGGCTTGGCAGGGCAGGGCCATGTCCAGGGATAGTCCTGCACCGAGGGGAGGTTGGATGGGGGCTCCTTGTCCCTCCAGCGCTATGATGGAGGCCAGGCCCGGTCCTCCTTCAGCCTAGCTCTGGATCTGGAGGTTGCCACGTGAAGTGAGATGGGAAGGAGTTGCTGCAGGGATGGCCAGAACTATGCCAGTGTCCCCATGGCTCAAGGCAGCCTCTCTCCGTGTCTTCTAGACTCAAACCGGGAAGATTTCGACCCAGCCCCTGTCAAGAGCAAGTTTGACTCCCTGGACTTCGATACGCTGCTGCGGCAGGCACAGCGCAGCCTGCGGAGGTAGCGGCAGGCGAGGCGGAGTGCCCGCCCCCGCTTTTATACTCAAATACAAAAGACAAAAAAAGTATGGAGAAAGAGAGATGGGGTTTTTAAAAAAAGAAAAGAAAAAGGAAAAAAAGAAATCTGTTTTATAACCAATATTTAAGGAGGACGGGTCATTTGCCTTCAACCAGAGGGGCGCAGGCTAGTGGCAGCCCCAGGCTTGCCCCAGCCATGTAATAAATGTGGATGCCCAAACAGCAGCGCTGCCTTGTCTCCTCCTTCGTGCAGGCTGTGCCCCCTCAGGGCCCTGGGGGATGAGGCTGCTCTGGGGGCTCTGCAGGTTGGGGACTGGGTGCAGGAGTGGGTGTCTGGGGGAAGTGGGGCAGGACTGGGGTCACTGAGCTGCTCTGGGGGGTCTGTGGCAGCCCCCAAGTGGCCTGGCACAGGGTGACCCCTCTGACCATTTCTTGGGCTCTGCTGGAGTGGGGACCCCGCATCCCAGCCCAGAGGCACCAGGCTGGGTTTCGGGGCCACCTGCACCTCCCGTGGTGGCCACGGAGGGGCAGTACAAGATCCTCCGCGGCCGCCGCTGCGGGCTGGGGTACAGGGGGCTCAAGCCCTTGGCAGGAGCACAGGCAGGGGTCTGCCCGCTCTGAGGGCAGCGTGTGCAACCACGGTGTCTGCCTGTCCCCTTTGAGCCTGCTGGTTGGTTTTGCTCCAGCTCGCCAGGAGGAGAGGGATCTCTGACATCTCATCTCTGGGTGTCCCCCGAGGGAGAGATGTTGGTGTGGCTGCAGAGAGGTTACAGACATCCGCAGTGGGCAGAGCACAGTGAGATGGTGCTTGGCAGAGGAAGGGCAGCGACGGGGAGGGTGCAGGATGCCTGTCCAGGCCCCGGCGGCATGCTCCAACTCAGAGAAGGGCGATCCCAGGCAGCCCCTAAGGGAGGGTGCTTGGTTCAGCTGCCTGCTCCTGAGCATCTTCCCTGCACCTCTCCCGGAGCTGGCAGTGCCGGGGCCCTGCAACCTGCTCCTGGAACACACTTGGGCAGGGTGCAGTGGTGCCCAGCTGGGCCCCCTCCCGGCACACCCAGGGGTGGGGGATCCTGCAGCCACCTGACTGGGCTCTGCAGAGCCGGGGGAGCGCAGACAGAAGGGACGGGCAGGGGATGGACCCCCCAGGGCTCCTTGCAGTGCCTGAGGTGGGAGAGGGCTGGTCAAAGTCGCCCAGCTCCCTTGCCTGATGGAGGCGGTGCCCACTCCTCTAGTAGGAGAGCAGGGAGTGGAACAGCAGCAATAAACCTCGGGTGGGGTGTCCAGTGGGTGTGATGCAGGGCAGGGGCTTCAGTCAAGCTGACGCTCCCACTTGGATCATGCTCAGTCCTCTGAGGCCCTTCGGGGCTGTGCTTGGGGTGTGCAGCAACTTCATCGGGCAGGGATTAGCACAGTGGCTGGAGCTCACTTGTTACCTCTCTGCTGCCCTGGATGGAGAGGGATGCCTCTGGTCCTGCCTGCATGTGGGATGACTCGTGCCGCTCCACAGCTCGGCTCAGGGAGGCCCCCACAGTTGCCCAAGTGTGTGGGGGTGAGCTCCCACCCTGTCCTCTCCTGCCTGGCCCTGGACTTTGCACAAGGGAGGGTCCAAGGAGGAAGCTGCAGGCAAAGGTGTGAGTGGGATAGCAGGGGGAGGCAGGCAGGGGGCTGTTAATCAGTAATGCAGCTCTTCCCAGAGACATCGGCTTGGCAGGACAAGGCTGGAGGAGACGAAAGCCCGTGCAGGGACGTGGGAGGAGGATGCAAGCAGCCCTTTCTGGGACTCTGTGCAAACCCCTTTTGCTGCAGCACTTGTTCAGCCCCTCTCCTGCCCAGGGCGGCTGGGTCAATCGCGGTGCTGACAGGCAGCTCCCTGCTCTGTGAGCTGCCACGGCGACGCTGAGAGCGTGTAGATTCAAGTAAGAGCATTGCAAGGAGAGCGCCTGTTCACCTGCAAAAACACCTTCAGGTTGAAGAAAGGCTCGTGAGCCCAAAAGCTGGGTTGCCTTCTCCAACTGCTTTAGCTGGTCTCAAAGTTTCTTTACAGCCTTTCCTTGAACCGCTGCTGCAGCTGTGGAGGCAGGTGGGAGCTGGGAATGGGGGATGTCCCAGGGAACACCTCCCGGGGATGTGCTACCCCATGGACTTCAGGTGTGCACATTCAGGCAGCCATCCAACTGCGGTGTCACCCCAAATGTAGGTGCTGCTGGCTGCAGCACCAACATGGCCGTGTCCCTTGTGTTCCTGCGGCTGGGCTGCACATGGTCCCCTCTCCTCGCCCCTGCGGGTGAGGAAAGGCAGGGGGTGTGAAAGCGTTTGTGTTGCCAAAGAATTAACACCCTGCTGTTGTGTCCTATAAATCTTTCAAGTGTTAGGGACTGGCTTTATCCCCCTGTGTTACGGTTTAATGGTTTCCGTTAGCAATAACTTGCCCCTGTGTTCTGGGGTTATTGATTTAAGGTCTGTTGTGGAGGGGGTGAGAGTTACAGAAAGGTGTTTTCCAGCCGCCCAGCCGGCAGCAAAGGCACCATTGCAAAGAGGAGGCAGGAAAGCGGGAAGCGGTGCACAGCCAGCTCTCTGGAAGCGTGGGTGCTGGCGGGAGCTGTCTGGAGAGGATCAGGGGACAGTGGCAAGGAGAAGCACTTGGAGCATAGCTGCAGCCGCAGAGGTGAGCGTAGCTATCATGGTAGCAGGACAGCACAGATGCATCCCCTGAGCTCTAACACAGGCGGGTTGTGCCTGCCTTTGGCTCTTCTTGGAGTCATTGCACGTGTGGATGGCCCCAGGCTTGACGGCTGGCAGCACTGTGTGTCACCCCGTGCCAGCCGGAGCACCCCGCGGCGCTGCAGACAACCCTGTTTGGGAGTTCAGACCTGGAGCTCCCCAGGCAGGGCCATGCCCTGGCTCTCCTCTGTGCACACCGACAGGTAAGTCCTGCTGGTCGCGGCCGGCACGAGTGGCTCTGCCACGTGCTGCAGCAGCCCACGGCCGGCGACTACACAGGGACTGTTTCCTGAGAGGTCGCTAAAGGGAGCTGGCGTTGTCCTCTGTTTCTCTTCAAGGCACTCAACCTTTCTGCTTCTGCTCCTGCTGCAGACTCGACCCTCCTGTGGTTGTCCCTAACACTCCTCACACCAGGCCCTGCCCTCTGCCATCTTTTGCCCAAACAGACTTTCAAGGGACCGATGCCGATTTCACACCTTCCTCTTCCCTTGTCATTCCCTCTTGCATTAGTATGTGCTGAACATGATGTGCAAGCTAGAAAGCAGCTAGAAGGGCATCCAGAGTGGGCTCTTTATCGTGGGTAAAACCTGGAAGATGAGGGGCCTGTGCCTGGCGTAGCTATGATCTTGGGGATAAGGGATGACATGCTAGCGACACTAGTAGTAACTTGCAGTAACAGGGTGACCTGACTGGACTTGTGGTTCGTATTGGTCTCATGGACCACAAGTGCTTCAGATGAATTGTTGCACATACGCAGGGATTTTAATTTATCCGTGCGTAAGCTTGTTTGGACACCACGTGCAAAAAGCAGAGGGGTAGCAGGGGAGTCTGATGGCAGCACCTTCCACACTGAACATGTTCAGTGTGCTCATCCTGAAAGCTGACAGGCACCCCTGTGGGGAGAGGTGCCAGGCACGAACCTGGCTCTGCAGAGCTCCTTGCTGTTTGCAGCCATTCCCTTCCTTGGGACTGCCAGCCCTTGAGAGTCAGACAGGAAACGGAGGTTCAGAGGAGCCCCCGAGAGCTGGGACAGCTCATCCCCCTACGGCACGCAGAGCCTGCAGGTTTGGGGCTCCCTCACTCTCACACTTTCTCTGCTTTCTTACACATCCCTCATCCCAAATCCCTGCCTGCCTGCAAGCAAGCCCTGGAGGCCAGCCAGTGGTTGTGTGCGCTTTAAATCTGTGCTCGTACAGCTGAGAGCCTGGGTTAATTCCCGTGTTCCCTCTCACAGCCGCTTTTGCAGTCATCGCGTGTACTTGGGGCAGTTCTCCAGGGTCATCCCATAGTCAGGTGTCCTGCAGTTGTGAGTAAAGGTGCAATGAACGTTCTGCCAGTGCCTCTAGACTGGACACTTGCTCCAGTCACCCCCCAAAACAGGCGCTGCAAATGCTTCCTGACTCCTCTCAGCAAAAAAGCTGCGGCTGTAACAAGCCACCAGAAGCCAGCAGGGAGATTAAGGGACCATCGGGTCTGCAGCCTGGTGATGGCAGAGAATTGGTGAAAAAAATTACATAGGATCTAGAAAATAGATGTGAACTTGGAGAAGGTTAAAAAAACCGCAAACCCCACCCCAAAACCACCCAAAAAATGTAACCACAATTTTTCTATCAATCCAGGAAAATTCCCTCCTGACCCTAATCTGGCAATAGCGTTAAGCCTAATGTGTGAGCAGGCCTCTGGGACTGTAGTGCTGGGAGCACCAATGCCTGAGCCCCAGAGCTTGTCTTTAGTGCTCCGGAAGAAGGAAAACCCCAGTACTTTTAGAAGCAAATTAAGAAAGAAATTGTTTATTCTTCATGTTCACAGTGACCGGCAGAAACCTGGAAGCCTGAGGTTGAAGCAGCACCTCCTCCAAATGGCCCTAGCTCTGCTGAGTCCTTGGCCAGCCAGAAGCTGTGTCCCAGGCTGAACTGCCCTCTCCAGGGCTCTTTCATTTAGAACTTTATGGAGGGAGTTTTACCAAATTGTGAGTTAAATTGCAGGTGCCCCACTACCCTTTTTAATTGGCTGGTCCAGAACTTCATTCCTGGCCAGTCTAGAAACTCCCCAATTCACCATCTAAACGTATTATTTTGTGCCATTATCATATGTCTTAAAGATTTTCTTAACATTTTCTTATTGAGTATTTTCTTTCAGTGGTTGAGAAATACATTTGTCCCCTCTCAGCCTCTGTCTGGCCAGGACAAATGAGCCAAACTCTTCTAGTAGATCATCAGCTGGTACTTGTTTATCTCAGCATCCAGAGAGTTTTTCTCTGTGCAGTGGAAATTTATCCTTCCTGGATGCAGAGCTACAAGGATATTCTGGAAGAAGTCTCATAATGCCTTGCGCAATGGCAATAATGTCTGTCTCTGCTAAAAATAACTTGTCTGATGCATCCTAGCATCATGCCATTCCTTTTTCACAGAAGCATCACGCTGCTGCTTCACGTTCATCTTTCAGTGCGGTAAGGTCTTTTTATTCCTTCAGTGCCTCCATTCCATCAGTTTACAGCAAAT